CGTTCAGGCCTTAGTCTGATTCTCTGTGGCGTCGTTGCCTCACCAGGAAATTGGTTTTTACTTCTGGTGCATTAAAACCGCTCGGATTTCCGAGTCTCCCCCATTCACCCCACCCCTTTCAGCCGTCTCCGCGTCCGCGGTTAACTCAGAGGCACCCGCTCGCAGTGCAAACGCCGCGTCCCGCTCGGCCCCTCTGAGATGTCCTGGAATCCGAATTGCTGTAGCCACTCAGGCAGCAGGAAAGGGCATCCTTTCGCTGTGGGGGGACTGGAGCTCCCTCCCCAGGAAGCCCAAGTAGGTGCAGGTCTGCAGGCCCAGGGGCGGGACGCAGAGGCCGAGAGCCGGAGGTCTCCTGGAGAGAACCGCGCGCCGGGCTCGGAGGGGGTGCGGGGGCCACCCAAGGGCAGTCTCTTCATGTGGGCTCCCTGGTATCGTTTTATGAAAAATATATATAACTATGTGATATATATATATATATATCACATAGTTATATATATCACATAGTTATATATATATATCACATAGTTATATATATCACATAGTTATATATATATATATGTATATATATATATATATATATATATATATATATATATATATATATATATATCACATAGTTATATATATCACATAGTTAGTTGCAACGTGTTCCGGAAATATGGGGAAGCGTAAGGCAGAAAGGAGATGGCCGGGAACCTTGCTCCCCAGGGCTGGCACCAGCGCGCGCACCCGGCTGGAGCCGCCACCTTCCCGGAGACCAGAGCTGTGCGGGGCCCTCATCCTCCTCGCGGCCCCGCTCTGCGCAGAGGAACAGTGACTCCGACTCCCTGCTGTAAATCTGACAAAATTAACGCAAAGCTGGCCCAGATGTTTATTTCTGCGCCACCAGCGGCCCGTTACAAAAGTGTGGGAGGCGCGAGGTGGTTGACGGCTCCGAGGGAAAAGGCTGATCTTTCCCGAGGCGCCGGCGCCGCTCCCGGTGGGAGCCGGTGGGCTCCTCCGCTCCGGTCCGACCCTCCGCGGGGGAAGCACTGGCTTCTCTTGGAGCGCAAACCAACGTCCACATCCGTCACACCGAACCCAAAGTCTATAAATTTCAGTCTTTTTTTATTTTAACCATTCAGGTTTTTCCTTTTAAAAAAAAAATCCCTGCACAATTAATACAAACTGACCTCCTGGCTTTGTTTTATATATATGTATGTATACTTTATTGGGTTTCTTACAGAGAGGAAGAGAGAGGGACAGAGCTGGAAACATCAACCCGTTGCCTCCTGCACACCCCCGAGCGGGGATGTCCCGCAACCAAGGACACGCCCCTGGCCGGAACCGAACCCGCGCCCCTCAGTCCGCAGGCCACGCTCCATCCGCTGAGCCAAAGCGGTTAACGAGGTCAAAGTACAAAGGAGCCTAAATCCCCGAGACCCAGGAAGGGGCTGCTGCCCCGGGGCCGCGTCAGGCCGCCGGGGTCTCCGCGCCCGCCCCCGCCTGGGCGGCCCGCCCCCGGAGGCTGGCAGAGGCCACAGCCCGCCGGCCCGCCCGCCGCAGCCCGAAATGGAAGCTGGGCCCAGCCCGGGGGTGGGTGGGTGGGTGGGGGTTCCAGCCCGGGGGACCCAGCCCGGGGGGGCTCAGCCGGGGCGGGTGAGTGAGGCCACCGATCAGTATTTCTCTCTCTCTCTCTTGAATCAACAAAAATACAACTAATTTATGCTGACTTTCTGCACACTTGCTGGTTTAATATCCTCAGGTGAGGATTTTTAAAAAGGAAGAAAACTGATCCTGGCGGGTGCGCCAGAGGAGAGGGCTCCCGGAACGTGGGGAGAGGCCGTGAGGAGCCGGCGGGTGCGTGGAGGGGCGCCTGCTCCCCGCAGACCCCGGCCCCGGGACTGGCTGGCCACGTGCCTGCCGCCCCGCCGGGGCCAACGCGAGTTCGGCCCGCATTCCCCGTCGCCCTCCCAACTAGCACAGGAGGTTCCGGGCGCTGACAGGCGGTCTCCAGCGGCGGAGAGGAAAGACTGAGCGCCCCGCTCCGTCCCGCCCCGGGACGGAAAGACTCGCTTCGAACTCGCCGGAGGGGCCGCAGGGGGAGGGGAGACGCACGGCGTTTCCACTTGTCGGTTATAAAAAGGGGTAGAAACCCAGGCAGGCCCCAGCGAGATTTGAACTCGCGACCCCTGGTTTACAAGACCAGTGCTCTAACCCCTGAGCTATAGGGCCCAGTACGGAGCTTTTCTCTGCCTGCGACTGGTTGATGCCGCAGCCTCCGCCGCGCAGCCGCAGACGATTCACACAGAGGCGACGGGAGGACGCTGTAGGCGGAGCCGCAGGCAATTCACCCGGAGAAGCCGAGCGACGGGAGGGGCGGCCGGCGTCGCCGGGCCGAGCGTTGGCGCCGAGGGCGGCCTGGGAGCGCCGGCGGGCGGGGCGGGGCGGGCGCCGGCGGGCGGGGCGGAGCGGAGGCCCCAGGTCTCCACGCTCCCGGGGGTCAGCGCCGAGGACCCTGGAGGGCAGGGTTTGTGAGGCTCACTGTGAGCGAGGATCGGCGCTAGGTCAGGGCGCGAGGAAGAAGTCGGGGAAGGATGGTAACAGGTCTGTCCTGGGCGGAATCGAGGTCCAGGGGCTGGAGGGCAGCACGTGCGGGAGCAGTGGGGAAGGGGGGGCAGGAAGGGTTGGGGAAGGAATCAGAGACCGATAGTGATGAAAAATCAGAATGAGTGTGAGGAAGTGGTGGGCCGTGGACTGAGGCAGGGCCCGGGGTCCCGAGCCCCTACGGCACCTTTAGGCAAATTAGGAAGAGACAACCCTTAGGGCCCCCTTCGGACTCTTGGGGAGCAGGTTCTGTCAGAGCCCCCAAGGGGCACAGGGAGTTGAGGGCAGGGGAGGGTGAGAGCCCAGGTGAGGGACAGAAAGTGGTGGCTGTAGGTAGGTGGTTGCCTGGTTGTCCAACCTGCCCTACGGTCGGTCCCTGCAAGGCCAAATGACTTAGATCTCTGGATGGCCAGGCCAGAAGCAGCCCGTGAGGAGCCGTGTGAGTCTGAGGGCAAGGATCTGGGCTAATATAGTTGGGGTCTGAAGAGCCAGAGTTAGGCCAGTCTCTGCTCTCAGAGGCTCAAAAATCTGAGATCTTACGAAGCCCAAAGGATGGAAGAGAAAAATGCACGTCCTCTCACACCAGCAGACCATCTCTCTCCCCCTCCATGTGCAGTTATGTATAACTGTTAACATCACTTCGGATGTAGAGAGATCTATGCAGTTATTCTAATACTCTATAGTCACATGAACACAAAAGCTGAGAATACGCAGACACCAGACTTGGCCCTACAGGGCCTCCACCAGTCACCCTATCTTCTGTGACCTGCAACATGGGTTGCGATACTTTGGCATAGTTGCTAGATGACATAAGGGGTAATGGTGTTCTCAGTTAAAAAACCACAGGTTTTCGTTGTGGAAATCAGTGACATTCGAATACATTGGTTGGCTACAGTGTTCTAGAGCTGCTGTGTGTGTGAAGAGGGAGAGGATTTCCCCTCAGGAATGCTGCTGGAGGCTAGACTCTTCACGGGTCCTGCCCCGCCTGTTGGACACTGGACTCTGAGTGCCCGTGGCTGTGTGCACTGGGCGGGCCTCAACCAGGCCGTGCTGTCCTAACAGGGACCTGTCCACAAAGTGTGCTTGAAGCATCTCCAAGGACAGAGTACAGGAGCTCCAGGACTCCTGCAGACCAACTGCTTGGCTGTCACCGTCCCTGCATCTGTGTGAACTGGGTAGACAGAATTAGGTCAGCAATGGATGGAAACCTGTGCCATCGACTAAATATGGGTGGCTAATATTTAACCAGAAGTCAACAATAGGGTCTGACCTACTTGACCTCAATTTCAACACCTAACCCCTATGCACTGTTCATACGTACCCTTGCCAAGATCCACATGCCCGTCCTGCAATCTGATAAAAACACCTGTGCACCTTTCTCACAGCACACATGCTCACCTCACCTGGCAGAAATCCTTGCTCACACATGTGCTCTTGCACTCAGGCAGGGTTAAGAATGAGCTAAGCCACTGTAGAAATGAACTCATAGTCTGTATTTCCATCTCCGAGCACTAAGCAAGGAACACCCCACCACCACCCTCCCCGAAGTCCAGCCTTACAGAAGCTGGGGAGCCATTAGCTTCTGCTGGTGGCATACACTTGGTAAGTTCCAGAAAGAATCTGTAAGGGGCATGCCTCTGCTTTGCATTTCCACACTGGTGCGAGTTGAATCTATAAAAATTCCAGAACCTTTGTCTCCTTACCCAGGGAGACTGTACTTTGGCACTTGAGAGGGGTTTGGGCATCTGTGAGGACACGTGGCTGTCGCTGTGATGTACATATCACTCGGATCATCAGTTTCTGGCTGAGGGTAGCCATGCCCATATATTATTGCCTGGGGCTTTCCCTCACATACAGGGCACAGGGTACAGGGTACAGGGTACAGGTCTAGGCTCTGCTTCCAGTTCTGGCCCGGACTGTCCTTTGAGCTGGGAGCACAGTGCTCCTCCCTGAGTGGACGTTTCAGTTGGGCCAGCTGGATTCAGGTCTCTGAAGGCAGCTGGCAGCTGACAAGAAGGCAAACCAGAAGTGATCATGAACCTGGTTGGCCTGGCCCCAAATGTGCCCCTTGCAACTGAGGACCACACAGGCCCGGGCCTTGGTGTTGCTCCAGGGAGCCAGAGGTGCTGCCGAGTCTGAGCAGTGAGCCCGGGAACAGGAAGCAGCCCTGTCAACAGCCCTGTCCTTCCCCCGCCCCAAGCAGCTGTACCAAAGCCACATGCCAGGAAGGGCACAGGCCCTGGAGTCAAGGCCTTTGTGCCCCGGCTGCTTGCTCTAAGGCAGCCGGGGGCAGGAAGGGTGAAGGGCAGACCCAAGTGAGCAGGAAGCCCCGACAGAGCTCCCATCCCTCCCCAGGGCAGCCAGGAGGCCTCGCTCTGGACGGGCCCCCTCCCTCCGGGGCCGGGCAATGTCCCTCAAGGCCAGATTCGCAAGTAGGTGCCCGTGGAGCAGATGGAGAAAAGGGGGAACACACGCTCTTGGAAGTTGACACGGAAGGTGTAGAGGTGGCGCATGTCCTCCACGGCGTAGAAGGACACGGCGCCCACCTCCAGGTCCAGCGCCACCCTCACGCGGGACAGGTGGCCGCAGCTGAGGGGTGTCCGCTCGGGGCTGGTCACGGCCCAGTACTGCCCGCCGTTGAGCTGCAGCGCCCAGACGCCCTCCTCGGGGGTGAAGGGCGTGAGGCCCTTGCGGCGCACACTCTCCCGGGCCACCCCGAAGGCCCAGCCGTCCTGGGAGCCCACCTCCACCTCCCAGTGGTGCCGCCCCGAGGAGAAGCCGCAGGAGGCCAGGACGCGGGTGTTGGTATCAAAGCGGCGCGGGTGGCTGGGCAGGTCCTGGGCCCGCTGTCCAAGGCGCACGCTCTTAAGGTCCAGGGAGAGGATGAGGCGGGGGTTGGCCGTGTCCGGGTCCAAGGTCAGCTCCTCTGCAGGGGGAGTCAGGGAGAGATAGCCCTTGCAGGCCTCTTGCACAGCCCATTTCTGTCCACCCTACACCCTACTCCTACACCCCCAACCATACATCTGAAATCAAACTGTAGAACTTAGATACTGGAAAGAATCAATTTTTCTAATTCTGATGATGGTTTTGTGTTGTTTTTTTTAATCTCTTTAGCCCTGGCCGCTGGGACTCAGTTGGTTGAGGTCCCCAATCAGGGCACACGCCTGGGTTACAGGCCCCTCAAAAGGCAGCCAATGGAAATATTTCTCTCTCCTGCCCCCACACCTTCCTCTCTCTCTCAAATCAGTATAAACATATATGGATTTTTAAAAGTCTCTCTTTAGAGGTCCAATGCTGAAATATTTATGGAAATTATATTATCTGTGATTTGCTTCAAAATAATCCAGTAGGAAGAAATAAGCAGGGGCATTAGTGTATTTGCTGAGGGTGTATGATGAGCAAGTAATATTTGTTATGCTCATCTCTCTACTTTAGCATATGTTTGAAATGTTCCATAAGAAAAAGCTCGCGCCTGGCCAGCATGGCTCAGTGGCTAAGCATCGACCTATGAACCAAGAGGTCACAGTTCGATTCCCAGTCAGGGCACATGCTCAGGATCGGAAGCTCGATCCCCAGTGTGAGGTGTACAGGAAGCAGCTGATCAATGATCCTCTCATCATTGATATTTGTATCTCTCACTCTCCCTTCCTCTCTGAAAAATATGTGTGTGTGTGTGTGTGTGTGTGTGTGAAGAAAAGGCTCAAATATGCACACTTGTAAGTGTTCCAGGCCTCCTATGTGCAGGCCCTGGGAATCCCAGCCCTCCTGCAGCTTCCTTTCTTCAGGGAGGGGAGGAGAGACAATAAATGATTTTAAAAATATAGAAGAGGGATCAGGACAGCAACTGTGCTTTCAACTAGAGGGCCAAGGACAGCCTCACTGAAAAGGTACATTTAGCTCTAACTGGTTTGGCTCAGTGGATAGAGCGTAAGCCTGCAGACTCAAGGGTCCCAGGTTCAATTCCTGTCAAGGGCATGTGCCTTGGTTGTGGGCACATCAGGAGTGCAGGAGGCAGCTGATCTCTCCTCTTATTGATGTTTCTAATTCTCTTCCCTCTCCCTTCTTCTCTGTAAAAATAAATAATTTTTTTTTAAGTTCATTTAGGCAAAGACATAGAGAAGGTGAAGCAACCAGAGGCAGCTGTCCGGTGAAGCATGTCCAGGCCCAGGGAAGTGTGTGCTGGTGCATTACAGCTGCACGGAGAACGGGTGCACGGGGAGAGCATGCAGTGCGGCCTGAGGGTAGCTGGGAGAGCTGCAGCCTTTGCTGAGTGAGAGGGGCCTGTGCAGGGCTCTGTGCACAGAATGGGCAGAGTCTGACCCAGCTGGTTTAGATCCTTTCCAGGCAAAGTCTGGCTTGGCCCCCGCTCCCCTCCCTGTGGGGTTGGGTCCCACTCACCCAGATTTCCGCAGGAGTAAAAACCACCTCCCTTGTCCTCCGTTTCTTCCTGCTTCCCCTCACCCCTGCACACAACTGCGGTCCCCGAAGAGGTCTCAGTAAGTTTGGGAGTGAGGACAGGGGAGAGAAAGGCTTGTAGGTGATTGACAAGCCTTCCCCAACCTAAGCATCCTGAGGGGCAGGGCACCTCTGCTCTGGACCACAAGCCTACAGCCCCCCGTGGCCTGCAGGAATGGACAGGGAAAGGGAGCAGAGGGCGGGCAGAGGGAACCACCCCCCCGAGCCCAGAGGGACAGTGGCCAGCAGGGAGTGATTCTCCAGGTGGCAGTAACAGGCACTCCCTGTCTTCACCACTACCGTACCTTTCTCCTCTTTCTCCAGCTCTCCACGCAGGTCCTCTGGGAAGAGACCAAGCAGGTGTGTGTGAATGACACCAAGATTGTCTGACCATGACAGTGACAGCACCTCCTCTGACACGGCTGGCCTGGCTGGCTCACTTCCTCCCAGACAGGCCCGAGGCACTGGGCCAGCGCAGGTGCGGGAGAGGCAGTGTTCTGGCTTTTCCTGTCCAGCTTCCCCTCATTTGCCCAGAGCTGGTCAGAGCTGCCATCTCCTTTCCCATCCTCACCCGCCCCCAATGCGCCTCTATCCTGTCGGTCCCAGGGGAAGCTCTGCGCAGAGGGGGCCTGAGTAAATGAACCACCACTTACGCCAGCTCCGCTTTCCTCACACAGCTTCTGGGAAGGCACATCTTTACCCGAAACCTCCAGAACCACACCACTGCCCCTGGCACCGCATGGCCCAGCCCCACACCTGGGCCCTACCTTTGAACTTCTTGAGCAGCCCCTTTAAGACAAAGGTCTTGAGGGAAACATTCCAGACTTTATTCTTCATCTCGGAAGAGACTGTGCTTGGCTTGGGGGCCGGCACATTGCTGCACCTGCAGGAAGGAGGAACTCTGGCCACGCCCACAGTTAGGACCGCGAGGCCCCCTGGGTGCGGAGACGCAGAAAAAGGCGAGCCTGGTCTCATGCCCATACCCACACCAGGCTGCGGACTGAAAGGTCCCAGGTTCGATTCCGGTCAAGGGCACGTACTCCCGCCTCAGGAGGTACCAGATAAGGCAGTGGGGACGTGGGAGGTGAGAAGCTGGGGGTGGGAAAGAGGCTACCCATGGGAAAGAACCAGCTGAGAGGGGCCCCAGGAACTGTGAGGTCCACTCACCTGCTTAGTGTGTTTTTAAATTCCTGGAAAGAAAGATGGAAGAAAACAAAATCAACATCAGGTAACCTCCGTTCACCTTTGGAAAAATAAAACTGTCCAGAGGAGGAAGCACTCAGCAGGGGCACCACACCCACTGTCTGCTGGGCCAGGGTGCCAAGGGCTCCCCACTGGGCTTGGAGCTGGGCACCTCGTCAACACGATGGGTCCCTGGACACTGCCCACAGCTCTGAAATGCCCGTCATTACAGAATCGTCTCTGGAGCCAGGTGCTGGGACCCAGCATGGCCTCTGCTCTCATGCCCCCAAGACAAGTCAGAGCCTTTATGCAGCGACTGCTCATTCCAACCAGTATCCTTTGTTTTTTATTTATTTTTTAATATTACATTTTATTGATTTTTTTACAGAGAGGAAGGGAGAGAGATAGAAAGTTAGAAACATCGATGGGAGAGAAACATCGATCAGCTGCCTCCTGCACACCCCCACTGGAAATGTGCCCACAACCAAGGTACATGCCGCCCCTGACAGGAATAGAACACGTGACCCTTTACTCCGCAGGCCAACCTCTAACCGGTTTTGGCTTGATTGATTTTAAAAAATACATATTTTATTTATTTTTTTACAGAGAGGAAGAGAGAGGGATAGAGAGTTAGAAACATCGATGAGAGAGAGCTGCCTCTTGCACACTCCCACTGGGGATGTGCCCGCAACCAAGGTACATGCCCTTGACCGGAAATTGAACCCAGGACCTTTCAGTCTGCAGGTCGATGCTCTATTCACTGAGCCAAACCGGTTTCGGCGCTACCAGTGTCCTTTAAATGACTGTTTTTGATCCATTTGTGTCTTGTGAAGTTTATTTAATATATTGTCACTATTTTTTTTTTTTTTCAGGTGGGACCACAAACACAAATTATGCACACCAGTTTCCTTCATGTGGGGAAATCGCAGAGGTCAGCACATCCAGAGTGCAATGAATAACCGTTGCCCTGGAAAAACCACCTTTATGATCAAGGTATCTCCCCTGCCAGGTAAGTATGAGTAGATTGTGACTATCTTATTTTTTTAATGAAATAGGATAGAAAATATTTAAGTGATTCCCGTTAGTAAAGGTGTTATTTCCTGGGACTTGTCTCAAGTGTGTGCGTGCTGGGAGACGATGTAAGACATATTCTTGTTCTTCACGGTCAGGAAAGTCCGATCCTATTTCTGACTCTAACCCCAGGGAAACCAAGGCACCCTCTCCCGCCCCCTTGGCTCCAGATGGTGTGAGCCCACTCAGCTCACAGGACCCGCCTCTGTGCTCTGGCTGCCTTCCCACTGCCTCAGGATAAAGGGCTCAGAGCCCTGGGGAGCCACTCACCTGCAGAAAGTCAAGGCTGGGCTTGCTAGCTGTCTCCTGGATCTGGCTGGTGAGCTTGGATAGCTGGGCGATCTCGCCCCCGAGCTGGGCCAGGTTCTCATTCTGCTTCTGTGTCACCTCCCGGGAAAGCTCCTCCAGGCGCCCCAGGAGCCGGCCCTCCTGCTCCACCAGGAAGGCCCGCAGGGCCTGGAACTCTGCCCCCACCTTCTCTCGCTCAGCTGCCATCTGCTTCTGTCTCCGGGGAGAAGGTGAGGGACATGAGCATCAAGACTTGGCATTTGGACAGGAGCGCTGAGCCACTGTGGGAAACTGGGCCCGCCTCGTTTTTGGGGGGTCAGAGGCTCACCCACACACGCACACCCTGCCCGGCCTCTAATTTAAATATCCCAACGCTACGGGCACGGCAGCCTCAACACACGCTCTGGCTTCCCCGTCACAGATGTGCCTGGGCTCGGGGCGCCTTCAAACTCACCTAACTGCTAAAGGCTGAGCTTCCTCGTTTGAAAAGCGAGGATGAATCAGTGCCTCCTGGGGCCACTCTCAATATTAAACCGAGGTCACTCTCTTCCCCAAACACATTTATTATGTGTCACATACAAGAAAGCAGGGCCAATATGGAGTCGCTGATGCTAAGCTCCACCTCACTAAACAGACTTGTTATAGTGTTGGCTGTCCCAGAAATGGAATCGTAAACCAGCTAATCAAGAATTGCCTGTTCATAACCTGCCATCCCTTATTGGGAAATAGCATCGCAATAACCAAGCGGCTTTTTTGCCTGTAGAAATTCCTTGTTCTTGCCCTGGCCAGTTTTGCTCAGTGGATAGAGCGTCGGCCGGGGGACTGAAAGGTCCCAGGTTCGATTCCGATCAAGGGCATGTGCCTTGGTTGCGGGCACGTCCTCAGTGGGGGGTGCGGTGTGGACTTATGAACCAGGAGACCATGGTTGTCAGTTCAATTCCCAGCCTGGGCTGAATCCCTGGTGTGGGACGTGCAGGGGGCAGCTGACCATGGTTTGCACTCATCACTGATGTTTCTATCCCTCTTTCTCCCCTTTCTCTCTGAAATCACTAAGGTTTTTTAAAAAGGCTGGAAGAGGATTCCGTGAATGGGTTTTGAATTCAAGAGACCTGGGTTCAGGCCATGGCTCTTCCCTCCCAACCCCTCCCAACCACACCAGTGCCTTCAGGACATTGAGTATGGGGCCTTTACAGGTGTGAATTCATTCAGCGCTGACAGCACCCTATGATGTGGGTGCACTTTCTTCCCATTTTACAAATGAGGAGAGAGGCAGAGGAGCACCTCTGTCACCAGTAAGTGGGCAGCCAGGGCTCCGCCTCAGGGAGTCTGACCCAAGAATCTGCTTTCTTGCAACTATATCATACGGCCTCCCAAGGAAGTAACACAAGTGGGAGAATATTAGCCAAAACACTCTAAACCAGGGTCTACCAGCCTCTGCGCTATTGACATTCGGACCAGATAATTCCTTGTTGTAGAGGGCTGTCCTGTGCACTGCAGAATGCGTAATCAGCACCCTGGCTCTACCGCTAAGTGCCAGTAGCATCCCTGCCCCAGGATCGACAATATCTCCAGTCCTGGCTGGTGTGGCTCAGTGGATAGAGTGTCGGCCTGTGGACTGAAGGGTTCCAGGTTTGATTCCAGTCAAAGGCACTTGCCTAGGTTGCAAACTTGATCCCCAGTGAGGGACGTGCAGAAGGCAGCAGATCAATGATTCTTTCTCATCATGGATGTTTCTCTCTCTCCCTCTTTCTTCCTCTCTGAAATCAATAAAAATATATATTTTTTTTAAATCTTCAGACATTGCCAAATATCCCCTAGGGGCCATAACTGTCCCCACTGAGAAGCACTCCTAAATGGTAAGAGTGCCCTAATCAGTTTGGCTCAGTGGATAGAGCGCCAACCTGCAAACTCGAGGGTCCCAGGTTCAATTCTGGTCAGGGGCATGTACCTTGGTTGCAGGCACATCCCAGGAGGTAGCTGATTGATGTTTCTCTCTCATCGATGTTTCTAACTCTCTCTCCCTCTCCCTTCCTCTCTGTAAAAAAATCAATAAACTATATTTAAAAAAATAAAAGTAAATAAAATATAAATGGTAAGAGCATTTTCAGATAAAATTCTGTTATCATGCAGCAAGGGCTGACTGGACCTCCACTGTTGTATGAAGCAGGTAGTGTTTTGAATTCTAAAGGCTATGGGGCCAGAGGGGAAGGTGCTAAGCAGTGTCATGGTGGGTAAGGCCAGAGACCATGACGCTGCCCGTGATGTGGGAGGCCTCTGGGCTGTAGAGGGAAGAGCCACATGCTTACTCCGTCTCCAGAAGAGGAGAGAGGGGTGTGGGAATGAGGGCTGAGCCCTTCCTCAGGGAGGGAAGCGAGTGGTCAGAAGGGAAGGCTGGGCAGCCATGTGCCCCCGGTGCCGGTGAGGGTCAGGAAGGGTCTGAGCTCAGGTCTCCCCACACCACCCCTCCCACCCGGGGGATAGGAAGGTCTTCCCGTTCCTCTTCCTCCAACTCCCAGCTTCAGAATGGGACGGCCCTCTCCTAACAGCCTCCCTATCAAGCCTTTCACTCTTTTAACACCGATTTCTCGGGCTAAGCATTGAATTTTCCAGGTAGAAAGTTACAGTCTGTGACCCACACACAGCTCCCCTTACTCAAAAGGAGCCCCGTTTCACTTTCCTGTTCCACTGAAAGAAAGACAAAATACAGTTCCTACCCACCGGGGTCATGGGCACCCCGGGCGGTGCAGCTGGAGCCCCTGGAAACTGGTCCCCAGGTGCCCACCCGCAGCGGCTCCGACCGTAAGCCCGCTTCCACTTAGCCTAACTGCAAACCTCAGAACTCTAAAAATGAAAAAAACGTGTTTTGTTTTTTTTCATAACTCCTGTGATGGCAAAAAATGCCCTGGGCTGACATGAGGCTATTTACTGTATTTATGTTTCCACTGAGTCTGAATGAACCTGAATTCATGTTCCTCTGCAGAAACATTATTGCATTCAATCGGGAGAGACTCCACGGCTCTAACTGGGTGTAATATTAAAATGACTAGTATACAACCTGACTCCTGGCCCAGTTCCAGTCGAAGCCAGCCGTTCTAGGGTTATTTTAGCCCTTCCTTTCGCTTGCAGAAGCTCTGGTTATATGATAAAGTATAGGGTCACCTTTTACGATGTGCACCCTATTATCTTTCTACACCGGCAAATGCTCTGTCACCACACAAAACTGCCAGGCGTGGTGGCCCTGTGTGTGTGTGTGTGTGTGTGTGTGTGTGTGTGTGTGTGTGTGTATGGGGGGGGGGGCCTCACCAGGAGCTCCTTGCTCTCCTTCTCTTCGGTGGAACGAAACACCTCATAGTCCTCCAGGTCCCTCTTCAGGACCTTCAGCCTGGACTCCAGGAGCTCCTGCGGGCGGGAGAGAAGGGAGACACGGGGTAGAGAATTCTGGAAACCCAGCCTTCCTGGAGCGCCCAGGAGAAAGGGAAGGCCCTGCTCATGCGGGGGAGACCGGGCTGGATACAGCCTGACTTCAGAAAGGGGGACAGGGCGCCTTTAGGGTGACGCCAAAAGCCCCAGGTCTCGCTTCCCCCAGACCGTCAGTGCGCAAGTTCGGGCTGAACCGCAGCCTCTCCGACCCCAGCAGCCCAGCCGCCTGGTCTCTGCTCCAGTCCCCGCCATCGGAAAGCCCTCCACCCCTCAACTGAGGCCCCAGCACCGAGGCAGGAAAGGGGAGCCCACAATCCAGCTCTGACAGCCCGGCCGGCTCCTCGCCCGGCTCAGCCCGGACCCCCTGGGCGGGTCGCCAGGGGGAGGGCGAGGCGGCGGCGGTGGGACGCGCCCACGTCGCCGCTGGAGGTCGGCGAAGGGGAGAAAGGAGCTCGCCGAGCGCGGGGCCGTGGCCGGCCCCGGTGTCTGGCGGCGGGCGGCGGGCGGCGGCGCTCACCTTGGCCTCCAGCACCGCCTCGGCCAGCGGCAGCACGGCGTGCGCGCGGTGCTCGCGGGCGCGGTCGCACACCACGCAGATGGCGCGCCCGTCGTCCTGGCAGAAGAGCTTGAGCGGCTCGCCGTGCAGCGCGCAGCGCGCCGCCTCCGCGGGCGCGGGCTCCGGGGCGGGCAGGCCGCGGCGCCGCAGCAGCGCGGCCACGGCGGCCAGCGGCCGGTTGGGGCGCAGCTGGCCCGGCCGCGCGGGCTCGCGGCACTGCGGGCAGGGCAGCGGGCAGGGCAGCGCGGAGCCCGCGGCCGGGCGCTCCCAGCAGCGCGCGATGCAGGCGCGGCAGAAGCTGTGGCCGCACTCCACCGACACGGGCTCCCGGAAGAGCTCCAGGCAGATGGAGCAGGTCGCCTCGCCCTGCAGCTCGGCCGCCAGGGCCAGGGCCTCGGCCCCGGAGCAGGGACCCGCGCGCGGCCCCGCCGCCGCCATGCACGCCCTCCGCGCCCGAGTCGGGCGGCGCCGCGGGCCGGGCCTCCGGGAGGAAGGGCGGGGCGGACCCCGGCGCCGGAGGTGGCACCGGGCGCTCCGGCTGGAAACCCGCCCGGAAGGGGCGCTGCGCAGCGCGGGGCTCCCACGGAGGGCAGCGCCCCGCGCCTGGGCCCCCCGTCCCACCCCTGCTGGCTCCTCCGCCCCGCGGCGCTCTCCCCGCGCCCCCCCCCCCCGGGCCAGGTCCCCCCCACACCCGGGCCGCCCCTCCCGGCCGCCCCCCCCGCACCCGGGCCACCGCCCCCACCCGGGCCGCCCCTCCCGGGCGCCCCCCCCCCCCCGGCCCAGGCCGCCCCCCGCTCCCCAGCCGCCGCCCCCCCGGCCCAGGCCGCCCCCCTCGCCGCCCGGTCCAGGCCGCGGGGAAACGCGCCGGGACAGCTGGGCGCTGGCGGGGGGCCGGCGCCGCCGCGGGTCGGGTTTCCCGGAGCAGCGGGCCCGGCGCCCGGGAGCTAAATTTGGAGTCGAGTCTGGCGCTCAGTCCCGACCCACAAGCGTGGCCCCGTCTCCACCTCTGTGGCTAGCTACCTTTCCTGCCCTGTCCCCTCCCCGTTGTTTATGCGTTATGTAATTGTTTTCATAAACCACACACTTACAGTAAGATTTCCCAGTTTACTCCATGGCATCCCCCTCTATCCCTCAGCCCCTCCAGAGCCGCGAGCGTTGTTTGCAGCCTCTCCTGGTCCAGCTCCCCCTCACCCTCCCCAGAACCGCTCTGGGTCAAGTCCCAGTGACCTCGGCGGTCCTGACCCAAAGGCAAAGACCCTTTCCAGCCTCGCCTCACTGCCCTCGCATCGCATGCTTCCTCCTTCCCGACGCTTCCCCAGCTCTGGGGCCTGCTACCTCCATCCTAACTGCTCTGCTCAGTCCTCGGTTCCCTGTCTCTACTCAGTCCCTTCTGATTTCTTACACTTTACGGCCCGACGACCCTCTCCCTGTGGACACACGGCCCAGGCGGAGGCCGGCTTCCGCATTCAGCTCCAGCACAGCTCCGCCGGAGGGGCGCCCGCACCGCACCGCGTCCACCCTGGGCTGACCTGCACCCCCACTGCTCCTCCCTCACCTTCCCCTCTCCCCCCTCACCCCTCACCCTCTCGCAGGAGCTCCCGCCTCCAGGTGCCCTCCGGGTGCTCGGGACAAAACCCGGGAGCCCTCTGTGACTCCAGGGGGAAAAACTGCACCCCTCACCCCGGGTCCTGTCTCTCCCTCCATTGCACCATCTCCACCAGCTGTGAGAACACTCCTGTTAAAACGTTACTTTTGAACAAATCATGGCCCTTCTCTGCTCAAACCCTCCGGAGACTCGCCTGCCAGCCCTCCCTCAGTCTTCCTCCCCCTCGCACTGGCCTCCTCTGTGCTCGGCTCCGACTACTCTGCGGGGGACTCCCCTCGGCCGCGCGACCTCCCTGCTGTTCCCGCACCGCGACCAAGGCCCCACCTCGCCGACTTTGAACCGGCTGGTGACCTGGACCTCTCTTCTCCCAGACACGTGCATGGCTCACTTCCATGCTGCTACCCTGTTTCAAAAGTTACCTGTTGGACCCCCCGAAGGAGACCCCTGCCCTGACCCAGGAACAGCGACGACCCAGTCAAACGCAAGAGACGGCACTTGATGCAAACAGCAAGAGGATTTATTCCAGCGCGCTGGGGCCTGACCTGTCACCCACGCAGGAGCAGCCAAGTCAAGCCCCGAGCAGAACTTCTCCCAGGCTTATAAAGGCAAAGACCGCAAAGTTAGAACAAAGGACAAGGGGAGGGGGTCTCCAGAAAGAGGGACAGGAATTCCTTGAGGGGAGGATAACCATTATCACAAGGAACAGGGTGGAACCGCCGCAGGATGTTGATAACACATCAAGTTCACTACCTCTAGGAGCTGAGTCTGGTGGTCTGGTGCTGTGTGGCTCTTATCCTGTGTTACCTGGGGCAGTTCTAAAGGTCACCTTCTCACGGGAAGTCTGGGCTAGCAAGGGGATTTTTCTATATTATTTATTTCAGCCTTCACAACCTTTCTCAAAAAAAAAGTTACCTTTCTCGATGAAGCCTGTTTACAATTTTCTCTCGCTCACCGCTGGCTCCGTTTTCAACCCAGCGCTCTACTTCCTCGGGAATGCGAGCTGTTAGAGCGGGTGGGCTATGTGAGTTTCGGACCAATGGAACACCAGTTTTCTAGAGCAGTTCTTGTACCTAGTGAGCGCTCCATAGACTTTTCTTGGGTTGAATTAATGTGGACGTGATTAAAACAGAGCGGTTTCTACGGAAAAGTCTGTCTATCGCCTAGACCCCAGTCCCCTCCCCATCCCAAGCAATTCTGAACGATTTTATACAAGTGTTATTTTTTCTACACTCCTCCCTGTTTTCTTTTGTGTGTTTTTTTTTTTTAAATAAGCACAGCGTCCTGCACAGTCTTCTTTTCATTTTCGCTTCACAGTTTATTTGGGGAATCGCATCAAATGACTTCTCCTTTTTCCACCGCTGCCCACAGGTGTTTATCGCAGCCCCGACCTCCCCGGGCGTCCTTCCGTCTGGGTCTGCGCCCCGTAGTCATTTAGTAGCGAGCCCTGGAAACCCTCGCGACGCTGCCCGCTGGGTTTGCGACATCTGGGGTACCGCGCTCTCCGGAGACTATGCCTGTGCGCATGCCCTGGACAAGGAAACCGCTAAGGGAGGAGAGCAAGGAAGCTTCCAGCAAGTGGGGGATGTAGCTCAGCGGTAGAGCGCATGCTTTGCATGTATGAGGCCCCGGGTTCGATCCCCGGCATCTCCAGCGTGGGCTTGCGCGTTCACTTTTTCACTTTGGATCTCCTAAATTAAAAAAATGCGACCTCAGATACTGGTGTTTCCTATTCTTTTAATTTAATTTATTGGGGTGACACTGGTTAAAAAAATTATGTAGGTTTTAGGTGTACAATTCTATACTATGTCACCTATATATTTCATGGTGTGTTCACCGCACCCCCCCCCCCCCCCCAACATCGTTTTACCCACGTTGGAGGTGTCGGCTGCGGTCTTCACCACTGCCATTCCCTGACGCTGCCTTTTAACTCCAGATTTAAAAAACCAAAGGGTGATCGGGCCAGTGGCATCGTCCTGCGCAGGTATTCCCTTCGCACTTGAGCTTCACGGGGATGGAAAAGGGCAGGTTCCCGGCAAAGGACAAGCAGAAAACTGACGGAAGTAGGAGAGACTCCGAGTTTGTTTCCAAGCTGCCCAGAGCTTTTTAATAGCCGGATCATACTCCAACGGAACACAACTTCAAACCTCCAGCTAGATGCAGGCCTAATCCCACGATGAAGTAATAATTGTTAACTGGAAATATGGACTGCTGCTGCTGTCTCGCCCGGCTAGCTCAGTCGGTAGAGCATGAGACCCTTAATCTCAGGGTCGTGGGTTCGAGCCCCACGTTGGGCGAATGGGCTTACTTTTGTTTTCAAACCTTCATACTTTGACACCTCGGAAAACCAAAGAAATCCTGTAATGAACATTTCCTGTGTGCAGTATTTAGGCTTTTTATGGCTACGCTCTTGATCATTAATCTATCCTGTTTATGTGAACAAAATTGGTTCTTAAAAATTGTGTAAAATATGCATAATAAAATTTGCCATTTTAACCATTTTTAAGTGTACAATTCTGCAGCTTTAAGCACATTCACGTTTTTGTGTAACCATCACAATAATCCATCTCCAGAACTTTTACATCTTCCCTAACTGAATCTCTGGACCCACTAAACAATTACACCCCACTCTCTCCTTCCCCCAGCTCCTGGTATTCTACTTTTTGCTGACTACTCTAGAGATCTCATATAAGAAAAATCAGACAATATTTGTGACTGGGTTATTTCACTTAGCATAATGTCTTCAAGTTTCATTCATTTTGTAGCATGTGTCAAAATTTCCTTTCTTTTAAGCCTGAAAAATAATCCATTGTATGTATATATAATACATTTTGTTTACACACTCATCTTTCAATAGACATGTGAGCTGGTTCCATCTTTTGGCTTGTGAATAATGCTGCTATGAACTCAGGTGTACAAATATTCATTTGAATCCCTGCTTTCACTTATTTTGGGTATATACCAGAAGTGGACATATGAGAACCACCCCCTATTCACATGAGTATATCTGTTCTAAGATTTTAAAATAATATGATTCCTTTTCAGATTAATTCAGGTGCTCTATCTATCAGGTTATAGTCCCTCCCTATCAGCTATAGTGTCTGCTTTTCTGCAATGTAATCTCTTCCCACCATCGAGAGGAAAGTCTATTTCCCTTCCCCTTGAACCTGGACTGGCTATGTGACTTGCTTAGCCAACTGAATGTGGCAGCTGGGACGTTCTGGGACTCTGAAGGCTAAGTCTACCTTGGTCACTCTTGAGACACTTCTCGGAACTCATGGCCATGCTACGAGAAGCCCAAGCCTCATGAAGTGGATTATTATTATTTATTATTATTATTATTATTTTGGCCTATTCTTGTTTATTTCTTTTAAGAACACCTCCTTGCAATTTCCAGAGAGAAAATACAAAACAAGAAACAGACTTGGTTTCAAATACATCAACAGTGTGCTGGAGTTTAAAGCGCTGCTGATAACATTGTTACAGAAGAATGTCAGCTTACTCCAGGGCACTTCAGTAGTCCTGAGGAATAAACATGATTTCTCTTCTCCTCCCCCTGAGATGTTCTCTGGTGTGAGTCACTGCTTCTGCTCCACCCGGTTTGCTTTAAAACTGTCTCAAGCTCTGGCCGGGTAGCTCAGCTGGTTAGAGCACAGTCCCAATTTGCCAGGTGGGGGTTCGATCCTTTCACATATTTTCCATGTAGAAGATATGGAGCCTGGAAATCATGCTGACCGCTGGAGAGGGCCCTTCCCAATCCCATGCCACATTCTTCTTTTAAAGAAGGTAAGTGAGGAAACAAGTCCTAATCCAACACCAGTACCTGTCTTGACGA